TGGGATACCAAAGCCTGGGCGTGGACGTGCTTTCATTTAATGGTTTATACAAGTGAATAAAGTTAAACAAAAAAAAAATAAATATATATAGAAGTATTCTTAAATGAAACTTATTAAAATGCTTAAGGGCACTTTCAACAATCATAGTTGTAGAATGAGCCAAACAGGCGCACCTTCAACTGCAGAAAATGCAAAAATTTAAGACTTCGCGGATGTAAGACTTTGCAGGTGACCTGTTGGGATTGAAATTATGAAAAAAGTGTAAAAAATGTTAACAGCTGGATGTGGAAAAACATGAAATTTACCGTATTGGATACGCGAAAATGGCAGAAGATTCATAGTGAAGTCAGTTTCTTGTCATGATACTAGAAAAATTAAAATAAAATGACACAGTGCAAAAAAAAATTCAAAAAGTTGTATGTGCTGGGAATCGGACCAACAGCGTTTAACTAAGCTGGTCAAATAATGAAAAAGTACTAACGGATTTGAATAAGTTGGTTACCATTTCTTTTTTATCTCAAATTATAATTCCTTGTTTTCAGGTGTAATTTTTTGAAATAAAAACACGTTTTCCAAAGTGAACGTCTGAAATTTGATAGCAAAACCAAAAAAAAAAAAACATTGTAGGTACTTTTTTATTTTGAACCCTAAATTCACGACTTTACATCGATGTAAAAAGAAAATGGATAACAACTTTTACAAGTGCTTTGAATTTGTTTTTGTTATTTTATGGCCTTATAAACATTACATTCAGCAATTTGTATTGAGCTTGAGGCCGTTTTTAATGCTTTGGATTTATTCATATTTTGACCTCTCTTAATGAATGCAATTAGATTCATTACCATCACTTTTTGAGTGTTGCACTGCGTAATAATTTTGGCCCAGTATTACAACGAAAAGCGACTGACCTCATCACTACTGAGATTTTCTCCGCCTCACATGCCTTGCAAAGAAAAGTGGAAAGTGGCGTTCTTCCGACGGATTTAACTATTGTTGCGGTGTTTTCTTTTTTTTATAAAAAATGCCTTTTTTTATTTCACTCCATTGTGGTATAGAAAGTATCACGTTGTGAAGCGCGATACAGCTGCGATCCAATTTGAAATTAAAAAAATTTAAAAAAAAAATATGCAAGACCAAAATATTTTATTTTAACCCCATTGTAGAAATTTTTCTTAAATCAGAAATGTGTTACCTTCTGTCACCTCATATTTCAAACAAGAAAGCATTGAATCGTTTAAATAAAATATGCGAAATTCAAGTACCCAGAATTTCCAATAGACCCAAAAAACCTGGACTTGACCAGAAAACTGGTTTTACATAGAATGAGGAAAATATGTTCTACATAGTACGTAACTTTAATTACACTGTAGCGACGCTGAAAAAAAACAAGAAAAAAACGCCAGTCACGTAAAATCAACTTTGGCTCGTAGATTACGGATCTGTATACCGATTTCCGGATCAGGTTATTTTCCGACGATATTTTCATTTTAAGTTTGCGTTGCGATTGAACAAAAATGTAGATTTTAATATGAAAAATTTTACTCATACGCCTTGCACGATTATACTCGATAAGGGTCATGTTCGACATGGCGTATGAGTAACATTATTTCCTGCTCCTATTTCATAAAAAATATTATTGTTCGTTTTAATTTGACAATTTACATCCTGTTTATTTACGCATCGATTTTCGTCGTTAACTTCTATGTGCTCGGTAGTCTACATTTGTAGCATTTTCGTTGAAGATTTGTAATAAATAAAATAATTACACTACAACCGTGTCCGAGTTTTACAGTCGCTTCCTGCTTAAAAGTAATTATAGAGAAAAGGATATAGATAGAGACACAGAGACTCAATCGGGGATTTTAGTGATTTTCGCGATTCTTAAGACTTATCGTTACAAAAATCGATATTTTTTTCGGTTATGTTATCGATTTTGTTATCGAAATTTCCATCGATTTTGCTATCGATATTTTCGGAACCTATCGATATAACAATCGATATTCTTATCGATTTTGTTCTCGATTTTGTAATCGATATTTTTATCGATATTGTTATCGATTTTCTAATCGACTTTTATCGATTTTGGTATCAACTATTTATCGTTTTTGTTTTCGATTTTACTTTCGATATTTTTTATCGATTTTATTATCGATATTTTGTTGGATGTTTCTATCGATTTTGTTATCGATAGAGTATAAAGATAAAATGAAGATAAACGAAAACAGAATAACATAAACGTAATTAGAAAAAACAGAGGTAGGGATCTAGATCGTAAAAATACAAAAAATATAAGCAGAAGCAAAAGCAGATATATGTATGTATGTAGATATGTATATGCATACATTGGTTATGAGACAAAATAGATATGTAACGTAAGTTTCACTTCTCCAGTGTGGCCTAGGCACACTTACTTTTTTTAAAAGGATTCAAAAATTATTAAAAAAAAATCAGTGCGATGTATAATAATAAAATGAATGTCAAATAAAAGAGAAAGCTCTGTAATATTTAAAGAAAATTAAACGTTTTGGTGCACAAGAACAAAAAATTGAAAATTTAAATTGTCTTTTTAACTTTAGTTAAGGATAAAAAAATGATTTAAAAGGACATATTTAATACCTTTCCGCTTTTGTGCACCAACAAATTTAATGTTTTTCAATTCTAAAAAGTTTTCTCTTTGCTGGATGTTCATATTGCATTGCACTGATTTTTTAAATAATTTTTTTAATTTTTCATATCCTTGAGGAAAAGATACTGACGTTGGAGAGAAGAACTAAAAAAACAGTTTTACTATATACGGCTCCTAGTTTCCTGGGTGTATGGATACTTGATGTTCGATTTTTTTTTGGGTTCTTGTCGCACGTTGTAAATAATATGTTTGGAAGTCAGCTCACTTTTTTACTCAACACAAGTTTTTTGATTTTTGCGTGTTGGAACATGTTTTTTTGTAATAATGTATTTCCGTATGTGACTTAGGCAGGTGTCGCGCAAACGAATTTTGTGTTTGCCAAACAAGATACGAGTTTAACTTATAAGTGTGCACGATGTATAAAAGCTAGTTTCTTTTCACCTTCATTTTGTGTTTAACAAAATTTTGTTTTTAAATAAACATGTATGTAAAAATGTGCTCACCAGTATAACACCCAGCCAGCAAGAAAACGTACATTTTACGAACATTATGTTTTACGAGGGATTCTCGTATCGCCAAAAAGTTAGAGAAAAGCTCGTAAACGATAAAACAAAAAAATATAATAGAAGGAGGCTTGTAGTAATTTGTCAGCACAATAAAAAATTTTAGTTTTGTTGACAATTTTTCTTCAATCACAATATTTTATAAGTAAGTAGTTTGTTAAATATTCAATTTAAGTAAATTATAAAGTATGAAATTTATTGGCAGACTGGTGCAAATGCAAAGGACGATCTACCACTTTCTTTTATAATTAAACTTCTTGTAAGTAGCTACTACATATGTAATTCAAAAATACAAATTAATTTAACGAGTTTTGCAATTCTTTCACAGGCTGCGCGGAGCAACACTAAAGGATTTAAATATTTTAAATGTAGATAAATATTTAAGAACGTGCTGGTGGGAAATTATTATTGATGAGGTAGCAGAACTTTTCTCGTGGAAGGGAACTGGTACCAAAAGCAGAGCTATTGGTTTGGCAACGACTGCGGCAAGAAGAAGTACGGATATTAATATTTTTTACCACTTTTTACTTAATTAAATTTTCCGATTTCCAATGGAGTTTAATCTTTCACTTTATTTTCTTAGGTGCTTTTCGTCAAAAATTTAACTCCGACGAAGAAGTTTTTATTTCCGTTTCAAAGAAGCACTTCCAATATGCACACGACCGGCAAAAAAAATTTGCAGCCTATCGGCAAAAAAGATAAAAAATAAATTCAGCTACTTTATAATATATATTAAACCCCTTTTATTTAATTGTTAATTTGTTAATAGATAGTTTTTTAATATTTATTTATCTGAAAATATCTTCACATTTACCGTGCCGTGAAAAAATATTGGCACAGAGAATTTTTCGTAATGAATGCAAAGTTTTTTATTCTGATTTCTTCTCTAATTGTTTTTTATAAAAATAAAGTTAGTATGAAGTTCTACTTTCAAATCAGATTTTTTAGAAAAATTCAAAGTATGCAGTTTTATAGCCCATTTAATTTTAGTATAATAAAGTGCGCGCTTGAATAGCTAGAAAACCTCTTTGTGTTTTGGCAATTTTTTATGCGCAGTTTCTTCCATATAAAAAAAAAATGTTGCACATAATTTGCATGGAAGAAACTGCGTGAAAAAATTGCCAAAAATCAACGCAGTTTTCTGGCAACTTCAAGCTTGCACTATGTTATACTAAACTATAATGGGATATAAAACTGCGTACTTAGAATTTTTCTCAAAAATCTGATTTTAAAGTAGGTCTTCATACTAACTATATTAAAAAAACAAAATGTGCGAGAAGAAATTCAAGTAAAAAACTTTGCATACATTTCGAAAAATTCTCTGTGCCAATACTTTGATCCGGCACTATAAATATTTATTAATTATAATTCTATTCAATAAAAGAACTACAATAATTTGAATTAATTAATTGCCTCTATTTTTAGCATTCAAAAACAGTAGATAAAGCAGTGTAAAAGACGCTTTTTTAACGTAAATTAATCGTTTACGAGACTCGTTTACAATTAAAAAACGGACGTAAAAATATTCGCATACGAATGCTTTTTCGATCCGTTTACGACTGTTCGTAGGCGATGCACAATTTAAAGCGAAAACGTGCTCGAAAAAGAGTCGTAAACGGCTATCACAAACGATTTTTAATCCGGTTTTTCTTCGAGAAAATATCCAATTACGAGCTTGCTTACGATGATTTTGCTGGCTGGGCAGTTAGCGCAACCGTGGTTGTCACATATGTTGTTCATATGATTCTCCCTACAAATTAACGCTTGCGACAAATGTAGTCTTCCGACCGTCTACGCGATAAATTGATGACATTTTACTATCCCTGGCCTCATATTAGACCCTTGTGGTCACTGAGTATGGTCTCTGGAAGACCAGTCCATCTACTCAAACCTACACCCAAGGCGAATTTATACAAGATGGTGTTGATGGCGAATTTAGATTTTCCCCGCGGTACTTCTTAATGTCAAAATAATGTGTTTGCTGTGTTATGAATTCGCCTTGTTTACAACAAACACATCATTTTGACATTAATAAGTACCGCGGCGAAAATCTTAATTCGCCATCAACACCACCTTGTATAAATTCGCCTTGCCTACACCAGATTTTCCTTACATCCTAGAAAATACATACATATGTACATAGAATATGTTTTATGAAAAGCATTAAATGTAGTTGGAGTTCTGAATTTGATGATTCCTTTGATTCGGAGCCCGATGGCCGAATGATTATAAAGCTTCAAAGTTGCCATATGTATGATTGTTTTGTGGTTTCCTGGATGTGTACTTTTTCTTCGTGGCAATGTCAACAATATTCGCTATGTTATGGCCATCAAAAATTACCTCAAGAGGAACAATAGGGGTATTCACGATCCGGTGCATAGTGTCTAGCATGGTGCATAGACAGCACGACTGGCAAATTTTGTTGTTGTTTGAACACATGAAACAACAACAATCATGCTATTTATGCTATCTATGCATCATGCTAGACCGTATGCACCGGATCGTGAATACCCCTAATGTATCCACGATTTACATAGGCAGTCGAATTATTGGCGTTCCGTGGTTGCAACTTTATGTAAAAAATAAAATGAATTTAAAATGCTAATTCAATTTAGGGCCGATTGCTCAAAGCCTGGTTGACGCTAATATCCGGTTAAACATCGTGATCGACGTTACAGGCACCGTGTTATATGTATGGAGTCGAAGACGTCGATAACGATGTTAACCGGCGATTAGTGCCGACCAGGCTTTGAGTAATCGGCCCTTAGGGCTGTTTTCTGGACTGCCTCTTAAATTTATCTCTATGTTAAACATCGTTATCGACGTTACCGACTGCCTGTTATATGCATGTGAGCGACAGGTTTGACCCTGGCAGTCAGAGCATCCTTTAACTTTAACAGGCAGTCTACATAGAAGACGGCGCATAGCGTGTTTTATTTCAAAAACTCAAATTGGATAATTCTTTATATTTATGTACATATAAATATGTATCATACAAACGCATTTCTTTTAAACCTTCTTAACACTTTTGGTTTTAAATGAATTTTTGCTACAAATTTCAGTTGGTTTCTCCGTTGGAATCTATCAACTCCATTCAAAATCCCACAATCGCGTTGATGGCATTTCACACTGGACCAGTTGGGCACAACTATTCACTCTCTTCATACTCGGCATTGTGGCCTGGGTAACCGCCTGGACTCATATGGATGAACAATGTCAACTGTGTGCACTTGTCTTCAAAATTGATAAACAACTGCGCGAATTTGCCGAAATCGAATTCGACTACAAGCTACTACGCAAACGACTATTCTACCAATTGGGCTTAGAGCTGCTAATTGCATTTCCATTATCGATGGTCAATTGCATGATCATACAACCGACAACGACTTTATTTCTACCCATCACAGCCTGCTATTGGTTCATTTGTGTTGCGCCCATCAGTCTGCTTATCTTCAAACAGTTTCAATTCTACAATCAAATGTACATATTGAAAACGAAATTCGAACTGATAAATTGTAAGTTGAGTAGATTCAATCGCAATGGTGTACTTGCCATGGCGCGCAGGCGTATATTGACAGTGCGAAAAATAAATTCAGTTAGTGAAATTCCACTGACAGCGGTGCCGATTTCTGCAGCACACAGTGAATCGGTGGCCCTGGAGGAGCCTAATGTGGAAATCTTACAAAATTTACTAATGATTTATTCCAGTATTAGCGATGGTATTGATTTGGTGCTCCGCATTTTCGCCTGGCATTTGCTGGCTATCACCGCCGTATCCTTTGGCGTCATCACCATACAGAGCTACAATTTGTTCATTCTGATGACGCATTCTCTAGCCTTGCCAACACATCACGTCTTCTTCATTATAGCTTGGATACTGGTACAAGTAATGGCGATTGCGATGAATGTGCGTATATGCAGCAGCACCTCAAGAACGGTAAGAGTGTGAATTCGTTTGTATTTTTTACAACTTTATTTTTTTAAAGTAATATTTCCAAGATGGATGCCACTGTTTCGCTGCTGCATAAAATGCGTTGTTCATCGAATGCGGCGCCAAATGCATGCGTCTTCTATCAGATGCTGCAGCTCTTCTCAATGGAAGTTTTGCAAAGGAAACGGAATTTCAACGCGGCTGGCTTCTTCGATATGGACTACAAGCTCATCACGTCGGTTAGTATGTGCATTCTAATTTTAAGTAATTTATTATGTTTAAATAAATTCGAATTTAAAAAAACGCATACCTTTAATTAATGTTTGTTTTATCTGCTTCAGATTTTTGCATCTGTTACTACGTATCTGGTGATAATTATCCAATTCCATTTTACTAGCGTCCCAGATGGCCATTTTGCAAATCATTCAGTTTATTGAACAAACTATATTGACAAATACAATTGGAAGTTATGATAAATGCGTGTGTTTTTTTTTTTTTAACTTAAGCTCAACAATAAAAATAAAACAATTCGTGCCGATATATGGTCTGTGGTTTGTAATTAGTTGTGCATTGACAACACTCAAAATAATTTTTTATTACTTAAAAAAAAAACATTTTCTATTGTAATATGACCACTCGTTGATGTACATTAAAATTTAATAGCTATAACATAACATGCACTATTACCAGGCACAGATATCGAGGCTTCTTATGGAATTTTAGGTGATAAGGTTATAAAACTCATTTTCCCAAGATATTTTTATTTTTCATTATGAATGAAAAACCTCACCTTATAAAAAATCAAGCCTTAAAGTATGGTCATGTACATACATGGCGTATGAGTAACATTCTTTCCTTCTCATATTTCATGCGAAAAGTCCTTACCGATTTTCCTTTGACCATTCAAAACGTTTTTATTTATCCATGTATTATCTTCGTTGTAGCATGATTTTTTTCTACAAAAGAACAGGCTTTAATACAAATTACAAAAAATCTGTTATTTTAAAATTTTTCCCTGTTAAAATTTGAATTCATTTTTTTTGTAAAAATTAAAATATCTTCCCTACAGTATAATATACGCAAACATATACATATATGTATTTAGATTTAATAAATAAGAAACAGTTGTAGCAAACTCCCATGAATTAAGATTTTCTCATATTTTAATTCCTTATCAACTCCAATCACCACTTCTTGCAAATCTAAAATACATATTTTTACTGCGTTTATCTTCGTATCATGGCCACTGCATTTTTTAATTTCCTTGGCTTCTGAATAATTGCAGTAATGTAGACAATCGTCGTTGCAGCCCTTCCTGCCTAGAAAATTATGAGACTGCGGATAACTTCTACTTGCCATTGCTGGGTTAAGGTATGAGGCTTTTGGCAGAATTGTGTTTAACTTCATTTATTTACAAATTTATTTATTTTATTTATTGAAAAACTGATTGGCATTACCATTGACGGTGGTCAATTAAAAGCGATGGCACAGCAAGTTTTCTTCAATTAAACGCCGCCCCATCATTGTTAATACATATTTATAGGCGCAACAGGTTGGTGGTTGTGTTAGATATTAAAAAGCTTGCAGCTGTTGTTCTTCAGTGCCTCTCAAACTGGAGCATTTGCTTTAAGCTTTAAGCTTTAACAAAATACTAAATTATACTCCGGTTAGTGGTGTAAGGTTTTAATTCGTTCGTAAAAAGCGAATAAATGGCTTACATGACCGAATTTATGCTTCGCTTTCGGATGAAACCATCTTTTTTGGATGGCGAATATGGCGAAATGCAACTAAAATGTCCCGACCCTTAATGAAAAAATGAGCACTTGCTCTTTGATACTTGCTTTTTGTTGCTTTGCTTTTTTTACGAAACTTATGATGAGATATATGTTTATTAGGGTGGTACTTAAAAAAATCAAATGAATGATTTTTTAAATCTGCCCCGCAATCGATAATACCACGGTCACAGATATCATACATACATTTTTGGAGTCAATTAAGACGCAGATTTTATAGTGGCTTGCGGCAGAATATCCCTACGTTAACAATATTTGTTCTCGAATTTTTTTTAATCGAACAGTCCTCTAGAAATTGACGTGGCAATTTTGGGAAAAGGTTAAAAAATCTAAATTTCATTGTGAATTTCGGAAAAGTATGTATTCGCTAAGCACTCTTGTTCCGCAACTTTTTCGGTTTTGGAAGAAAAGAAAGTTTTTTTTTTGAAGTTGTTGCAAAACACAAAGCACATTTTTTCTTGTATTTATTAATATCATATAAACACAATTAATTTTGAAGCAAAAAACAAAACCGACTTCAATTCTCATATAAAAATTTAAGAGTATCGTTAATTTCTTCATGATCCAATAATCGTATTTAAGCGAAATATGGGACCACCACCTGTGAGGTAACACCTTTCTTTAAAAAAAAATAATTATAGAAATCGGTTAACCTGGTTCATAGTTATGCGATAACATACTTAAAATAAAGTATTCCAACGAATTGATAACCTTCTTCTGTTTGTGAAGTCGGTTAAAAAGGAAAACTGGCAATACTGTGGATCAAAAAAGGAGGCGCTATTCAAGTGGCCGGTACTGTATTAAAATGGTATTTCCCCACTTAATTATTTAATTGATAACTAAGGGCCAAATTCAGAATGCGTAGTTAACTCAGAATCGGCGGTTAACTAAAGACTTTCAGTACAAAAATCTGTAGTTAACTGCCGATTCTGAGTTAACAACGCAGTGTGAATTTGGCCCAAGAGTTCGAAGATTTGCGATTCGTGAAAGTAAAGTGTCTGGGAAGAAGTAAATACACTAAAACTGTTTGTGTGCACATACCTATGTATGTATAATGTATTGATAAAAAAATCGTGTAGAAAAAACTATTAATTCTCCAACAACACAAAGGAAGCTGGCCAAGTAGAAACACACACTCGAGATTTCCAATCAAAATACCGTAAAAAAGAAATCAATAAAATCAGCTATGGAAAATCGAGATATAAAAATGGATATTTAGAAAAAAATTTATTAGTTTTAACTACATTTTTATAAGTACATATATATGTATATACATCAATCGAGTATCGTATTAGAATGCATGAAAACTAAAGCTTGTTTGCTTGTTCAGCTTACGAAGACGCAACGACAACTAAACCAGCAATGAACTAACATTTATTATTGGTTAAGCCCAGATTTGAAGAGACGTGACTGATGGCGCGTGTTTTGATATGGCGCAAACACACATAACTACACACATGCACGGTATATACATACGTGTGCACATACATACATATTTTATATAAAATTTTATATTGAACAGCAGAAGGCCTTGTTCATTGGACTGTGCTTTTGCATAGTAATTGCGAAAAAGGGCTTATAAAGCATCGCATGCTGGCAGTCGGCTGGTTAAGATGGACTCTTACACCTAAATACAATATCTTGGATTAAAAGAGGCAAGTTTCGTTGGAAATTAAAACAAGGCAGATTAAGAGAATATTTTTAAGAGAGGATGAAATTAAAAAACTAAACTAATCGATAATTACTTAGTTAAATTGATTTTTATATTTTTGTGATTGAATTTTAGTAGATAGTATGCCTTTCAGTTGAGTTTGAACTTAAAATGCTTTACTACTTACGAGTTCGATTTATTGTCGTTGCTTTTTATTTTAGAACGAATTTAGTTATTTAGTTCAGCTCGAAGAGAAACAACGGGGAAATGTCAAGGAAGGCTATTACTGCCTTATTCACACGATATTCCGCTTTTGAGCTTATACCGTACTGGCATGTTCAATCATGTTCTAAATAAGTCAGTGCTGGTTTGAAGGGGATACATTCATTAAGGTACTGAGGGCAGCGAGATACTCTGTTCTATATCCTCTCTGCAGACCTTTATGGCAAACTATAGCCAGTCCAAAGTACGCTCGTACAAAATGCTCTAACTAACGAACTCAATTTTCACTTAATTATACAACAGCAAAAGGCTAAATCATGGATGGGGAAGTGGGCTATATACGCGGGTAATTTGTAGCTAAGTGAATAATAAATTGAACTGGGTAGCTTAACACATATGCATATATGGCAGGGGCTGGATACTGAGAGGTACAGAGTTTTGTTTTTTGGAACGCCCCCGACTTAGGCTGATTGTGGGGCCCAACACTGGCCAGCATTGGCGACCGTTTAAGCTGTCAAGGAAATGAAGATCGGTTAAAATAATTTTGTTTAGCCTTAGCTAAACTGAGTCGACGTCTAGGCGCCTACTAACACCCAGCGCCTAAATGCATATCACATCTTCGATCAATCCGCATGAAAAAGGCAGCACAGATATGTGCACAGCTGCCGGTGCTAAAATTTTCTTTATGAAATGCAATGCACTTTTCATGTGTCATATAGCCGGAATTGTTAAAGTAATAAGTTAATGTCAGCTAAAATCATGCACAGTGTAGTCTGACGCATCCTCCGCACAACACGTCTGAAGTTATTTGCGAAATCTGCACGACTTACAACCATTCTGAAATGGTAGTTGATGTTTTTGTTGTTGTAGCTATTAGCAAGTGAGAATTTAAAAAAAGCCAATTAGAGAAAAACAGATTTTGTCATTGCCTCTTTCCTTAAAACAACACTTATACTACTCCACTCAATCGTGTGCAAGAAAAGGCCTAGCAACATTCGGCACCAACAGATCATATTAAATGAGAAATATAAGATACTTCGGTACACATATAAATATCTACCTACATATATATGTAGGTAGCTACAAATTGTATAACAACAATGCCAACGGATCGCCAAAGTATTTACTTAAGTTGAAAAACTGACTCAAGTTGACCGGTTGGTTTATAGCCTTTTTGGTTAACTATTTACAACTTTTGTTCCGATCAACAGTTGTCAACAACAAATCAAT